ACTTGGACAGGTGGCAGGTGAGTAGAGAGCCTGCTAGATTTAGAGAATGTACCATTTTGGAGGCCACCAGTCCAGCAAGGGACACCCTAACAGTGCAGACTGCACAGCTGACTCCCTCTCCCACATTATTACTCTCAAGTTCCCTAAAAACATTCATCACAAAGAATTAATTAATATCCCCACTGGTGGTGACGTGTACCACAGAGCACCTGATAAAATCCTATGGAACAATATTCCCCACACAATCACATCGGGGAAAATGTTTTCTTGCCTTAAATGTAGCTTCCCAGCTGAGCGAACAAGTGCCCATGTTGCTCAGATTACTAAACAATATGGCGGGTTTGTATTAATGTACATGTCTAACTTCACTTTAACCCCCAGATTGGATATTGCTTCCAACTATTTTGAGGCTCTTGTATTAAAATCACCTCTACCAACTATAAAGTGCTGTATCAAGAGCAGCAGACTCTGACCATTCTACCTTATGGTACTCTGTACATCACCTGGCCCTTACTCACAGTTTTTAGAAGAATTTGAAAACTTCATCTCAGGCCTTGATGCTCATTCTGATAAGTAGGGGACTTCAATATTCACCCAAACTAAGCATGTAATCCCCTACAGCAGGTAAACTTTTGTGTCACTCACTGATACTTCTGGTTCACACATTCTGTATGTGGCCCTCTTCACTGCTGTGGTAACACCCCTGAGTTAATTTTGTCCGCAGGGACAGTGGTCTCTAATCTGACTGTTACTTCTCAGATCACATCACATCACTTTATTGTCACATTTGAAGTGACATTAATGTGTCCTCTTAATATTAGTGCAAATGTATTTAGCGCTCAGTTTATTGGTCAGTTTCAATTCATCCAGCAACACCTCAACTCCCCAGGTAGCTACACACAGGTCCTATTTGTGGACTTCAGCTCAGAGTTCAACACCATCATCCCAGACATCCTCCACTCCAAACTGACCCAGCTCACTGTGCCTGCCCCCACCTGTCAGTGGATCACTGGCTTTCTGACAGACAGGAAGCAGCAGGTGAGGCTGCGGAAAACCACATCCCAGCACCTGATCTGTCAGCACAGGTGCCCCCAGGGATGTGTGCTCTCCCTGCTGCTGTTTTCACTCTACACCAACAACTGCACCTCAGGAGACTCCTTTGTTAAACTCCTGAAGTTTGCAGATGACACAACAGTGATCAGTCTCATTCGAGATGGTGACGAGCTGGCCTACAGATGGGAGGTTGAACAGCTGGTCCTGTTGTGTGGTCACAACAACCTGGAGCTGAACTGAAGCAGTGGAGATGACAGTAGACTTCAGAGGAGCCCCCACTACACTGAAAAAAAGGATTTGTTGGATTTACTTGATTGTAATGTGTACATCGGTCCCACACAATGATAATGTGTAAAACCAACATAATTTTCTTTAGGTGTTAACTAGTTTGAATTATGTTAACAGAGGAAATATGAATGAATTGCGTTGCATATACTAGCATAATTTGAGTAAATCCAAAGACCCGGTAAGTCCCTTTTTTCAGTGATATCTCCCAGGACTTGAAGGTGGCGTCCAACATCAGCACCATCACCAAGAAGGCACAGCAGAGAATGAACTTCCTGTGCCAGGTCAGGAAGTTCGACCTGCCCCAGGAGCTGCTGATAGAGTTCTACAGAGGAATCATCGAGTCTGTTCTCGGCATCTCCATCACTGTCTGGCTTTCCTTAGCAACCAAACAGGAAAGGAACAGACTCCAGCAGACAGTTAGGACTGTAGGAAGAACCATCAGTGCCACCCTGCCCTCCATGGAGGACCTGTACAACTCATGGGTCAAAAGGAGGGCAGAGACAATTTCTGCAGACCCCTCACACCCTGGACACAAACTGTTTGAGCTCCTCCCCTCTTGATGGCACTACAGTACACCAAGACAACCAGGCACAAGGACAGTTTCTTCCCCTGGGCCGTTGCTCTGATGAACACTTAACCCATGACTGTATAACAGAACGACAACCCTCAATGCAATACCTTGTATACCTTTGTATACATCTATCAGAAAAACTCTATCTGTATATACTGTATATTTCTCTATTTATAAGTACTTTATTTTTTTTCCTAATGCACATTCCTTTTTCTTGTTTGCACATTCTTTTTCTTTTCTTGCTCTGTCAGCCTTGTTTAATTGTCTATTTGGTGCTTTATGGAAGGGCACTGTACTTGCACTCCAAGAACCCTGTACCGGAGTCAGATTCCTCCAACACACCTGGCCGATAAAGGTGATTCTGGTTCTGGTTCTGAAAAAGTTGGTCTGTTCCCTGGTTTATTGAAGAAACATGTGCTCTTAAACAGGACTGCAGGACACTGGAACAAAAATCATAAAAACCTGAAGCTTTTTACCTTCAGTGGCCTGAGTGTGTACTCTGTCTGCTGCTAAGGCTATCAGTGACAATAAGCACAGTCCCAGATTTCTTTTTGAATCTGTGGTCAAACTCACACAGAAGCAGACGTTCCTTAGCTCCTTACAACTCTTGATTATTTCAGACTTTTGCTGCCGTAAAATAGATGCAATACAATATCAGTTTATTATCTCCAGTTCCTTCTGCAGAACCAGCTGAACATGAAGGTCAATCCCAGAAAGTCTTAGAATATGAGACCATATTGCTTGAATCACTGTCAGAGCTGGTGGCTACAGTCAAATATTCTTGGTGTGCTTTGCAGTGTTCATGTATAAACTATCCATATCAACCTGGACTGGTTAACGGTCAGCAGAGATCCAACTATGCTTTGTCAAGGTTAACCAGAAATATGGTAAATGGACTGTATTTGTATTTATATAGCGCATTTTTCCACAGTGTGTTGCACTGGCCAAAGAGCTTTACAGGAGATGATACACCATTCACACACCAATGACGACAGGCTGCCACATAACAGCGCTAGTCAAGCCACCAGGAGCAATTCAGGGTTCAGTGTCTTGCTCAGGGACACTTAGGCATGCAGGGAGACCGGGAGTCGATCCACCAACTTGCAGGTCAGGAGACGACTGCCCTACCTCGTGAGCCACAGCCAAATATAGCTGTGACAAGATCGCCAAAGATAATATATGAACAGTTATTCTGTCAATCTGTTCAACACAAGCATAAAACAACATTTGCAACAGAAATAATAGACTTGAAGATGTCTGAGTTGTGTGTATGGAACTAGAGGCAAAAAATAGGGGGGTAGAAATGAAATAAAGTATGTGAAATCAGTTCTTACACCTTGGAATAACGACTTATGGCAACACAGGACATAAAGTTAGGCATATACTATGTATATTATATAACTTTTTTAACTATGAAAAATAAAATTGTTATGAATTTCAAAGAGAACTGTGATTTTTTTTATATTTGGCTTAACATCCTGGTAAGGTAACAATTTAGTTGTCTTCTGTATGAACTGATTTGTTATTTGGGTGATGATTTGTTTTCTATGTAGTGTTCATATGACTGTAGTGCGTGTATGCTGGTATGTGTGGTGCATCCCGGGAAGAATAGCCAGTGCTTAAGTTGCTGTTAATGGGGATCTGAATAAAAGAAAGACATGGGGGTCATAGTCCTATGCCATGATTACCTACACCCACTTGTCTGATACTCATGCATGCTTTTTGAGTGTGAGAGTGCATTTATTCATATATTATTATAAATTGATTCATATGAAGGTACATTTTCACTACAAAGGTAATATGAGATGGATGATAAAATAATGGGTACAGGCTTGGCCATGTGGCTGGTGTACAACAGAGTATTAGGGCCACGTTAAGGGAAAAAATAGTATCTGTTATATCTGAAATGTCGAGAGTCAAAATGAAGAAATTAGAGTGTCGACAATATAGTAGAAATGTTGATAAAGTTAAAATACCATTTCAAGAGAACACAGTTGAAATGTTGAGATTAAAGTAAAAAAAATATTTTGAGAATAAACTTGAAACACCAAAGTTATTTTGATTTTATTCTCAACATTTTTAATTTATTCTCAACATGCAAAATAAAAAATTCTCCTCCCCTCATTTTCCTCCTTAATATGATGCTAATACTCCTGCAAATCTTGCTGTAGTTTTATAAGATAGGTTCAGTAATGATTAGTAATATGCTAGAGACACAGTGTATTACAGTTAGTCTTGATTCTGAACACCATGAGAAATGGTTAAAGCTCAGAACAAAGTTGCAGTAGTCCTTTTTAAAATATCTTTAGCAATTTCCTTGTGTTTCTTTCTTGTATCCTATGTCTTTGAACCTTTCTTTGCAAATTATAGTAGGCCTATACTTCCCAAAATAACATGTAAGCCATAAATCATAAGGTTACTGTAGTAAGGCATTCTACTGCATGTTTCTATGTGTGTTTATATTTGGATCATATGAATACGCCCACTAAGTCGACCAAATGCACAAAGGATACGTGATCAAAATTCCCCCATACTAGAAAAACCATCGACATCTACGTCATCTACTCCCAGCAGTAGCTGGTGACGTCACGTATGTGGCATTCACGTGATATTGGAATATATACTACGAACAACATTTTTCACTGAAATGCAAGACTAACAAATTTGAGAGAAAATAGATTAAATTTTTTTAATGATTTAGCATGTCCTTACAGTGTTTATGAGTTTTCACTTAATAATATATCGTATTATAAATGTGTAGGTCTACTGCCTGAAGCCAGAATCACTTATTATAATAATTGAACCAGTCAAATTGCATTGTTGTGAAAAATCAAATGTATTCATCGTATGATATTTTCTGACATTCTGTCATATTAAATAGGATCAAAACATCGTAGGAAATAGTCTTTATGAAACACTAGGATAGGGATGCTAGTAGGAGTGTAACCAGAAAAACTGTCGATCAACGAGAACATAACTATGAGTAGGCTATAACTAAACTAAAACTATAACTAAACTTCAAATGACAGCAGTTCTTGTGCCGAACATAAGCATTGTCCGCCCCTCCCTTTTCTATGACAGCCAGCTCCCTGCCCCACCATTAAGCATAAAAACCATTTTCCCCGTCCTGGTTGGAAGACGTTTCGTGAAGAATGTCGCACCTCGTTTCCACCCGCCAACATGTTCAAGACGAGTCGGTTTTAACATTTTCAACTGCACCTGAAGACTGGTGGAGAGAGTCAGAGGCTGAGGAGCTGGGGGAGAGGAGGGGGAAGGATAGCGAGACCCAGCTAGCGCTAACGCCATGAGCCTGCTTACTACCAGCTAAACGCTATTTGACGAGTGAGCTGCTACAGATAAAACAGAAATTTAAATATTTTTCTTCATCTAAGATGTGACACCACTAGCATCCCGACGCCTGTGTCTAAAACGACAGAAATGTGTGCCGGTAGCTAGCTAGGTTACCGTAAAACAAAAAGGGCATCTCAGTCCTGGACCGAGATCCCTGTTCATAATCTTCGGATGAGAGTTTCTGTGTAAACGTCGGTGAACCAGTGCGGTAAAGGCTCTCTGTGCTCGGCTGAACCGATCAGGTTCTGGTTACAGTGAAAACAAGCGGGGGACCAGCGAACCGTCAAAATGAAATTCACAGAGCATCTCTCGGCTCACATCACCCCGGAGTGGAGGAAGCAGTACATCCAGTACGAGGTGAGTTGGCTTCGTACTAACCCTGCTCTCTGGCAGCTAGTCGACTAGCTATCGGCTGGTGTCTAACAGCGACTAACGGCACGTCTAGTTGTTTGTCCGGCTTGATACCGGTTCTTTTTGTTTTGCTTTGCATTTGGGCATTAGATGGAGACGACTTCCTTGTCTTTCACTCTCCCTTTGTTATACAACAGGAAGAGGGGCACTGCTTTATTTGTTACGCCTGCAAATGAAGGAGCAGCAGCTCACCAGTGTTAGCACACTAGCTAGGTTAGTTTTGTTGCTTAGCTACCATCGAGCGGCCGCTGTGTCCACTGTGTCCACCGGCCAGCGGAGACCCGTGTCAGTCCTGTTTACCGCCTTGGAATATGGTTAGGAGACAAAGGCATTTGGCTGAGTCATCATATTGAACTAGTTAATCTTTGCGCCTGGTAGCCCCTCTGTCTGTCCTCAAATGCTGACCCAGCTCCCAGTGCAGGGTCACTGGTGACAAAGAGGTGCTGACAGCTCAGTTTGCAACCTTTGATCCATTAATGCATGGAAAGCTGACCAACTCACACCTATAGCATGGTGCCTTGATTGAATCTGTACACAGGGCCGACAGTGTAAACAAATTATAGCCACTTCGAAGAAAGCCTTTGTTTGCATTCTGCAATATATTTGAAACTTGTATTCAAAACACACCTGTCAAGGTTATGCTTTGGTACTGCAGTATGTGTATTTTTATACACCAGGAACAAAAACCATCTAAGTTATTAGGACAAATCAAAGTTGTAACACAGCTGGCCTGTAAGAGGGACACATTTCATTACCAGTAATCAATCTCTAATCAGTCCCCTCTGGTACACAGTCAGCTGGGACAGAGGCAAAGTTGTCTATTAGGTTAAACTGTCACACAAATAACTACAGTGGCACCAGTTGCACCAGCAGCATAGGTGTGAACTGTATGTCAGTTCCAGGAATTTAATTGAGCTTGTGTTTGTGGTTCAATGGCATTTCATCCAGTCTGAACCAAGAATCAGATCAGCTTATTGAATCTGAATCCACCTTACAACTTTTGTTTTTCAGGTTTCAACAATTATTAATAAAGTAAAAAAAAAAAAAAACCAAACAAAAAAACTGCTCCCAACTGCTGTTAGTTGAAAAGGCCAAAGCACCACTGCAGTATGATGTCTAATCTACAGTTACAAGCTGAAAATGAGGTGACTGAATATGTATCTGTCACAGTGAAATAACAGTTGTATTCTTTTAACTTTGCTTATCTTATTTGTCCCAGTAGAGAAGTCCTACCACTCTGTTGTTGAACTGAAAAAAACAGTTGGGTTGTTAATCACTGATCATACTTTGCTCTTCTGCTCAGTCTGGGTGATGTAAATTGGGTTGTGGACCTGTGTCCTTGAAGGGCCATACTTCTGTGTGGCCCAGAATTTATAGCTGCACAGGTTTTTATGCAAGTTACTTAAATGATGAACTTGTACGAGCCACAGCTGATATAATCTGCAGGGGGGATGCTTGTCATTTGGCCTGGTGGACCAGTGGTCCTCAGCAGTCATATTGGGAGTGTGTTACCTGAATGCCGCATTGCTCTTTGCTAATTCAAGAACAGCAACTAGAGATGAAAGTAGGGCTGCATCTAATCATGATTTTTATTACTGATACATCTGCAGATTATTATATTGATTTAATAGGCTTGTCTGTAAAGTGTAAGAAAAGAGTGTAAAATGCTTATTACTATTTCCCAAAGCTCAAGGTGACATCATCCAGTTGCTAGTTTTGTCTGGCCAGCAGTCCAGAAACCAAAGGTATGCAGTTTACTGTCATGTAAAACAAAAACAGTGAAACCTAAAACAGCAAGTCTTCTTTTCTGTGAGGGTTAAACAAGGGAGTGTTTGGTGTTTTTGCTGAAAAATGACTTAAATGATTAATGGATTATAAAAACAGTTGCTGATTAATTTTCTGCTGTTTTTTTTTTTTTTTTTTTTTTTTTTTGCTGATTATTCATTTCAGCTCAAGACAAAAATGGGTTAGGAGATTGGGTAGCTTCATCGCTTATTAGCCAGTATAATGAATGCATAAAGTTACCCTTCATGTTCCCAAGCATCAAAGAAATGTATATTTGTGTATTTTTACTACAGGCATGAAAGGATACAACATATGGGGCAGGAATATATCAATATAACTTCATCTGTTGTCACAGACTGTCAATATGTATGTGTAAATAAGCTATCGAGTTTCATCAAGAGCTATGATATACTGCATTGTTTCTGTGCTGTGAGGATAGATGTGGCAGGACTGCAGCTATCATGTTACTGCTTCTCTGTACCTGTGAGCAGCAGTATCTGCATTATTAGGTCTGATAAACTGTATTCTGTGCCCTGCATAGTCACATACTGGTGCAGCTCAGCGTGTCTGCAGCACATTCTTTCAGTGTCACTGAGCTCACAGCCATTCCAAAACCTTGAATGTTATGACGTTATCATCAGGAACTTATTTTAAGTTTCTTGAAAATGCCTACTAATGGCATTGTCTATATTTAGATCATTTGTTCATGGGTTCATTTATACATTTGTCTGTTTTTCCAGTCAGTATGAGCCAGTGCTGAAGTCAGAAGCCATCAGTCATCACCTGATGCTTTGTTTTAGTTCTGCGTTCCTTTTCCAGCATGGTCATATTAATAACCAGTTTCTGTAATAATCAAAGCCACTGGCTTCTGGAGAATTCTGTACAAAGTTTTTGAAATGCAGACTGTAGGATATGTATTGACATGGCCTTGGCGTCAAAATAACATTTGTGCAAGGCACTTAAGAAGGAAAGAAAATACAGGGACAAAAGTGATGCTCATCTTGATATGAAGGGTATTCAGAGATCTTTGTGCATGTTTAAAACATATTTATTCCATATTCTGTGCTATGGTTGTTCAGTGGTTAACACTGTCATCTCTCAGCAAGACAGTGCTGGACTAAAGCTTTGGGGCTACACTACCAGTCAAACGTTAGGACATACTTCTCATTCAGGTCGGTGGGAAAGTGTGTCAAAGGTTGTGGCTGGTAGTGTAAGTACATTTATATAAATTGCATAAAAATGCATGCATTTATCAAGTGCCAGGACACTGCAGCACAGTTTACAATACTCAGGAAGTCAAAATATATAGGATAGATAGACCGTACTCAGAGTTATCACCACTGTTTAATCTTTCATCACAATAGTTGTGAGGTAAACAGTAGAAATGGGGTGTTCACATTACAAAGTGATCCACCAGGAATGTGCACACCTTGGCTAATAACACTGTGTTGCTCAACAGTGTTGCTGAAGGCCCCTGGTGTGGCATCATTCTCCACAGATGGATTGGACTCTTATAAAGAATGAGCCTGTTGCAGTATTCTATGCAGACCTCAAGTTGGTGTTATGTGCCTTTTCCACTGCTTGCTACTGGCTCAGCTCTACTTGACTCAACTCACTTTGGTACCCGGTGCTTTGTTTTCAGATAGCACCCCCTCAGTGTAGCCGGTTATCACAGCAGCACAGTGACTGACCCCTGGTGGTGGCGGGGCAGCTCAGAACTGTTCTAATTTCTGACTTTGGATTGATATGGCACTTTATTAAGTTATATTTTTTCAGGTGAGAAAATATCAGATTTTCAAATACTGTATGTGGTCAGTCTGTCCAATAATGCCAGTTTAGAAATTTTCTCCAGCGTTTTTGGAGATGTGATGACTCACTAACATGCCAGCCAGCTCGCTCTAGACATAGCGGTAGTCACTGTGCACATATCACATTTAGTAATTTATACATGATAAGATGTACAATGTGGTGTATCACATTTAGTAATTTATACATGTTAAGATGTACAATGTGGTGGTTCACATAATGTAACAGTGGTTTCAGGCCTCTGTCACCATAAATGTAAGCCTTCGTAACACTCGTGAGAGAAGTGTCAGCTACTATGAATGAATGAGGAATGAGACACATAAACATCTGGGGTAGTCGGTGGCAAGACCGCCACGTAGTAATGACAAATTTCTCTGACCAATTGGTGATCTTCAGTGTTTATACTTCACCGTTTGTTATCACCTATTTTGCTTGGAACCTCGACAGAGGTGATACCAAAAATGCTACCAGGTACTATCCCCAGCATTTGACTAATGGAAAAACAAATAAGGCGAGTTGAGTCGCGTTTAGCTGCTACCAGGCGGTGGAAAGGGGGCTAAAGTAGCCTACACATTCCAATACGGTTGGCAGTATCTAACCTGACTATTGTTGCTTCCGGCAAACTCATTCTCTAAACTATGTCTCGGTAACTTGTTCAAGATACATCATGGGGAATTGGAACACTGACAATAGCAGCCCTCAACTTTTGTTCCTTGGCATAGTGTAGTAAAACAGGAAATGCCTTTGTTCTTCAGTTTCCTCTGCAGTCTTGGTGATCACAGTTGACTCTGGCCTGGCTGTTGCTCACATTGCATCAGATGATATTTGCATAAAGTTGAGCCTTTCTCAACTTTCCCTATGAATGTAGCTGGGTGCGTTCAGAGGAGGGCTGCAATGCCAGGTCTCTCTCACGATGACTAACAGTCATCAGTGTCCCAGCTTTTTGAATCCGTATACAGTGGTGTGAAAAAGTGTTTGCCCCCTTACTGATTTCTTATCTTTTTGCATGTTTGTCACACTGTAATGTTTCAGATCGTCAAACAAATTTATATATTAGTCAAAGATAACACAAGTAAACACATCATGCAGTTTTTAAATGAAGGTTTTTATTATTAAGGGAAAACAAAATCCAAAACTATAGAGCCCTGTGTGAACAAGTGTTTGCCCCCCTGTCAAAACACTGGTTTATCGCACCTGAGTTCAATTTCTGCCACTCCAAAGTCTTCATTTTGTTTTTCTTCAGCCATTCAGAAGTGGACTTGCTGGTGTGCTTTGGATCATTGTCCTGCTGCAGAACCCAAGTTCGCTTCAGCTTGAGGTCACAAACGGATGGCCGGACATTCTCCTTCAGGATA